TCTTGAACTATGAAACTGACACTGGTGATGATCTCCATAATTTTTATATTATTTTTATATAACTGACGCTGGCAAAACGCAGCAGTTAAAAAAGTTCTCTTTGTCAAAAAGTTTTGCACTGATTTTAATTTCATAATCATGACATTAATTCACATCAAGAAAAATATGCTGATATTAGAACATATTATTTATTAAGAATTCAGTCATTTCAGTCACTCTTTATTGAAGAAAAATCTCATGCAAATACGGCATATATTTGTAGTGGGGTGTTGTTTATGCAGTGAAAATTTCAACATCAAAATTATTTCAACATTTAAATAACTTACTTTAAATACAAGTGACAGGTTTTTTTAATTTCTTTTGATTGAGAAGTGTAATTTAAATTTAAAAATAAATTAAAAATTTCTTTACTGATCAAAATCCTTATTACAAGTTTAGTTTAAAAATTCAAATTGATCACTTATCTTTTCTACTGAATCAATTTGTTTTGTTTTAAACAAAGTCACAATAATAATAATAATAAGAGTGTCAATTTGCTGTGTTCTTTTGCACTATTATCAATAAGCCACAAATATTGTTTCTACTTTTTAACACTGTTTTTGGCTTATCCATACTTGATTCTTCGGATATAGAACCAAACCGAGAAGGAGCAGCTGTTAAAAAACTTCTCGAGCAGAAAGTATTTCAGCTGTCGTCCTAGCACTTGTTGTTTCCCTTATTCTATAATTTGTACTCTTGTCAACGATTTTTACTTCACACTGTTTTGCAGCGTGTATCTAAAATTAACACAACTAACAAGATTTTTTGTTACAAGAATGCCTCATAGCACAATAATAATGATATAACTAAATAACCTTTCCAAGTAAGTCTTGTTTGCTGTTATGCTGGTACTAGGTTGGGATAGCAGTTATTGTTATTCACTGTCTTTTGATTCATTCGGATGCTGTAAACATATTATTATTAGCTTTATATATTACACAATATGTAAATTTACAATCATACAAATCAAACTGTTGAATTAATACCTCATTTAATATACTGATATTGCGCAGCTTGGCTGTACTTTTGAATTTTGGCTCATATTTCATAATTTTCCCTTTGAGACAGTTCACCAAATCTTCGGTCGGCTACAAAAGTAATAGAATGTTATTACCTCGGAAATATCACAGTAAAGAAAAAGTGTTGTTTTATACAGGCGTATCAACTTACTTCAAAGTGATCTTCACATTAGTAAATAGTGTAAACTTTGAAGTATTTCACGTTTACTTCACGACACTTATATCGCAATTTTCTCTAATGTGAACAAAGATCTTGTTTGAGTTATGTATTAAACCATTCTCGTAGGGGTGATCAAAGCACTTTCTGTATTCCATAGCTGTATTATATTTGATATTTTGTCTCCCGGCAGCGAAATTTAAAGTTGCAAAGATCGTACAGTTATGTTTACAAACGTTGATGAAGTGACATTTAATTATTTTTTTTGCATTTTTGCATTACGCCGGAAAAAACCTTTATAAAGCCATTGATGACGACATTGAATGTCAAATAAAGGTCAATACTATATTTTTTCCAAAATATATATAATATCAACGTAATATGGATAAATATATAATAAATATTAATTTCCAACCTTATTCCTCGAAATGGATTTTGAAATAGAGAGTTTGAAAAAAATTAACATTTGAAAAGTGTCTTAACGAGAACAAAAAATGAAATAAAAATAGAAACAGGATTTGCAGCTATTAATATAATTATAGTTAAAGATAATACCCACTTGAATGGTTGTAATTTATACCTAGAAATCGGGAAAAGGCAGAACATTAAGTATACTTCATGTAAAACATATACATAGAGTGGATGAAACCCACCTTTAAAATTCGCATGATTAAAAATAAAAGGCAACAAAATAGTTATATTTTTACTTACAATTTTAAAACTATCTTCGAAATACATTACGTCAGAAATATAGAACTCTCGGATTTCTAATTATAATTCTGCGAATGGCTGTGGTAGCCACTAGGCCAGTAGAGAGGTTGCTGGTTCAAATCCCTGGGTACGAACTGAAAAATCTCGCTTTTTCAAATTGGAACTTACTTTCAGAAACTATAATGGCCATTACATGAAAGTGGACTTTTTTTCTTTAGTGACAGTATTAGTTTTAACGTGCGATTTCTTGCTTTTCAGGTTTTGTCAGTCAATCACAACACAATTAGTAAATTAATTGTTTTGTACTTTGATTAGATACTGATACCCTTCACATACAGGTTTTTAATAAGTTTTTTTAGTAGCAGTGGAGGTCCTTGTGAAAGAAAAGCAGGAAAGTACTACCACCTTATCTACTTCTGCCGCAAAGCAGTAATGTGATCATTAGGGTTACAGGCACATTAGGGTTGCCAACGTGTGCCTCGAGCATTAGGGTTACAGGCACATTAGGGTTGCCAACTTATGTCTCAGGGTGACACGCCCAGTGGCAGTGACCTTTAAATCTTTGCGATTTAAAGCTCTGAGTTGCATTGCAACTGTTATGGACAGGTGTGTTGAAATATCATAAATTAAGAATGGCTTTTTAATCGTATCTTGCTAGAAGTCAGGCCTGGGGGCCTACTATGAGCTCTTATAGCAATTCTGTTTAAACCCGTAAGTTCGATAGCCTGTCAAATTCATATTATGACCTCGCAAAAACAATTCACTGTCCACGCAGTTTACGTACTACATTCGAAATCCGTTCACCTTTTCTATCATAGTAAAATCGTGTAATTTGCCATGCACATGGCGGTCTTATTTGTCAAAATAAGCAATTCAAAGAAAGTTGCTCCGTAACTACTTTTTTTTTAAATGTCGAGCGTTTGTTACATTTTGAAGAAGTTTCGTTTGAGTTTTGTTATATTTTCAGTTTCATAATAAAATTATCTGTTACCTTTTTAGGGTATAATGGCCAATTGTCAGTAAATAAAATACTATTAACTATTGAACTTTTTTGAATAGTTTAGTTCGAGGTTCCCATCTGCAGAGTTTTGTTCACAAATTATTAGCATGATATATTTTAAATTGTATTTTAATACTTTTATTGACTTAGCGAAAATCGTAAAATAACTTTTAAATAGTACCAAATTTAACTTTAACGCATTGATCAATGAAAATGTACGAATACAAGATACGTTCCAATTATGTTATCAAATCTCAAATTCACCTTATTCATTTCAATTATAATGACTAGACATGGCATGTAATTTTATCTTACGACAAATTGTAAAGTATGATTGAAATGTGCCGATATTACAATTATTAAAATTATTCAAAAATTCTCATTTTGAACACAATCGGTTAATAATGCTTGAACGCTCCCAGGGTAGTACATCTGTCTATTTCTTTCATATGATTTAGTATGTAGTTCCATCTCGCTCTTGTTAGATGTCAACTAGCCAGGCAAAGACAATAATTAATGTTTAAAAAGTAAAACTCATCATCTTGGCTTGCCATTCCCGTTTAACTTTGTGTACGTCATGATACGAATTTAAGCAGTTTTACCCATTGACATACAAATAAATGGACGACGGGTCTAATAAAAAAACCACGAAAAAAATGTCCCAAGTCAACCTATTTAAACGTAGTGACGTGTAAAGGAATATGAAAAAACTAAACCGTTGAATTTAAATTGTAATGTCATCGCAGTACTGTCTAATTTTGCTTGCTTCGCTGTCAGTCGAACAAACGAAGACTAAAGCGTGAATGACGCTCTGTATACGATTTTAACGCCCTATAAGTTCGGACACTGTTTAGCGCGGACCCGACGTCCATATAATTGTAAGTCAATGGTTATACCACATCAAGTGAATTGCATGGAACTTGACTGGTTGCTTATAAGCTCATGGTAGGCCTCCAGACAACGGGAATGTCATCTGGCCTTCCAGCAAATCGAAATTTCTAGACAATTACTTCCGACACCGTAATTGGGATTCGTAATTTACCTACGTACCTCATCTTCGGTAGCAGTAAGGTCAGAGAAAGGGCATCACACCACCTTGAACTGTCCATGTCGAAAGAAGCTACGAACTCAATGCGAACGACCTGTATATGGCATAATTGCAACATATTTCTTTTTACCTTGGATTCGAAAGCAATCGTACATGCTTTACTTTGCTGCGTCAGATATACTCTATTCCTAGTTCAGTTGGCCTGACTGAACTAATGAGATTTTATTTCCTCTATTCCCACTAGTTCAGTTGTCCATCCTCTCTATACTAGTTCTGTTGTTCAGTCCCATTATTTGATTGAACTGTAAAGAATTTCTATCTATTTGCACAGTTGAAAATTAAACAAGTTTTTGCCCCTGGTTTAGCAGAGATTTTTTATTTCTTCTATTCCCACTAGTTCAGTTGTCCATCCTCTCTATACTAGTTCTGTTGTCCAGTCCAGTTAGTTGATTGAACTATAAAGAATTTCTATCTTGTTTACACAGTTGAAAATAAAACAAGCTTTTTTTGCTAGACTCAACATTAATTTTTTTTTAATGGCTCTATGTTGGTGGGACGACAAACCAACAGCAAATTACTCGTCGCGCCACCAGCTGGTCTACGATGGTACTATGAATCTGATAGGGTATCAAGCACATAGTTAAATGAAGAACTGAGCAAATGGGAAAAAGAGTCTCATTAATTCAGTCAACTGAACTGGACGACTGAACTAGTGAGAATAGAGGTCAGATAGATATATGTTGTACGTTTTCAAGGTCTTGAGTATTTTTAAGTATGAACATTTGTTTATTATTTTTAGCCTAAGTTTTGATCGACTTTATGATCCAATAAAATGTATTTTAAAACGATTTTTATGATCGATACTCGTAAAATATTTATAAAGTATTGCTCAATGTTTCAAGCTAAAATTTCTACGAACCTTAAAAGTAAACCTGTATATTTCATACGTCTAACAAACTGCCTTAATTGACCTTCGAATAACAATACCATCGCATCATGTTAATTAAATTTTTTTCTCGTTTCCAGTGTCATGTACTCGTACTACGCTCTAGTAAGTATGGGCAAGTACCCACCCAAGTTCCTCGCCATGACGATCACCTTCCTGCAGCTGACGCAGATGATCGTGGGCTGCTGCATCAATATCTGGGCCCACAACTACTTGGCCACCGCGCCTCCCGGCAGCTGCGGCATCAGCCAAATGAATATCAAGCTCTCAATGGCCATGTACTTTTCATACTTCGTCCTCTTCGCAAGATTCTTCTACAAAGCCTACCTCGCGCCTAAAGGAGGCAAAAAAACCAAGACCGAGCCCATCAACGATATTCCAGTGGAGAAATTAGAGAAGAAGATGGTGAACGGCTTCCCCAGACAAAGGAATGGCGTCGCGGTGCACTAGTCTGCCACCTTGTGATATGTCATAGGTATATTGTACAGGTTATGGATGTTAATTGTCGTGATTGGGACACGCTTGCCAATACGAGTTCATCACTATCGTATTTTAATATGCGAATTCAGCGCTCGACTCAGAAGTGAAAGGCTACAGAAGCGGCCACTTCCTCAGTCGATGCTTTCTTTTATTATAATATCATGTTTTATTTGTACAGATAGGCTTTTTTACTTCCTATTTACTTTTTTAATTCTTTTATGCGTAATCTACGGAAACTTTAACACTTTTCTTGGTGTTACTGAGGTTCTAATATCATGAATCGTTTATTGGTAAGTGGTCCAAGTCATACCGCGTTTCAGAGCGCCCCACGCGTCACATTCCACGCTAGTTCTTACGTCCGCTTATCCAGCTTACGTTTTTTGTTTTGCAGCGGGGGCGTTCTATACTTGTGCTTTTATATAGGTTCATGTCTAAGACAAGCAATGGGAGAGTTACACATTTTTTTTAAGAAGATCCTAAGTTCTATTATCTATTAGATTAAGTAGGTTAGTGACGCTTAGTGACTTTGTCGATATATATAATATAGAATTTACAGTTTTGAGCTGAATTTGATTTGACTAGTTGCTAAATTAACTAGTGAATCGTTAGAATGCATACAATGAATATCGCCTTTACACCTCCCTATCTCGCTTGATATCGACCTATGTAAAATCGAAAGTACCTTTGTTGATGTTAATCGTATTTATTACTTAAAAATGAGTGATTTTTTAAAGTAATTTATTTGTAAAAAGCTAGTTTCCTGTACAGTGTGTTGAGGAGTGGCCTACGAGGGCCGGTTACAGTGAAATGCTTGTCAAACAAGCGCACAAAGTGTATTGACATGTAATTCCAGATAGCGGAATAACCAATACTGTTCGGTGAATTTACAATCGGGCCGAGATTGAAAGTAATAACGATGGTGTACTTTGGGGATGGCCGATTGTGAATGCGGCAATAAGTCCAATACATTAGAAATAGATTGACGCCAATTAAAATCATTGAAAGCAATAATTATATCTACTTACAAAATGCTGCAGTCGTCCATCTCTAAAAAACTTAATCGACAACTTAAAAAGATTTCTTTTTTTAGACTAAATTATGTAAGTGTTCGATTAAATGCTCTTTAGCAGGAGCATGTATGAGAGTTCAAATTATATTAGAATCCGATTAAATGTTGGTGCATTTGAGAGGTTTTCGTAAAATGTAAATTTTTGTAGAGCCGCTGACGTGTTATCGTGAGGATGTCAACTTTTTATGCCAGAGACTAGTAGAAGAAGTTTGAACGTCGAACTCTTCGGTTCAAAAAGGTGACGACTCTAAACCACTGCTTGACTTTTGTGCGAGTCACATGTGTCATGTTACCTCAGAGTAAACGCTGCGCTACTTAGAAGTGGTCGGGTTGTTTGTAGATATTAGACTTAGTCACAAATTAGCTTGATAATTATTGTATTTGGGCTGAGGAAAAAGTACCGAACGAATGTCCATGACGTTGGAATAATTTAATGGTTTTAAAAATAACCGTCGGTGTGTAAGGACAGGTTCCGAAACTTCTATGTGGCGAAAATGTTTTTTATAATGTCGCAGAAATCCGAATAAAGCGGATTGCATTTACTTAAACTTCAATTAATACTCATAGAGTGGATTATACCTCCGTCTGAAAACGCTGGAATTATTAAAAATAAAAGGTAAGAATTCAAAACAAAATAGTTATATTTTTATTAAAAATCGTAGTAAATTAATTACACTACGTTACACTTCGGTTACATTTCCGAGTTTCAGCTGAGGTATTCTCAATTCTTATGTATTCAATTTCTTGAAAGTTAGGTTATATCTGCGTATTTAGATTACACATAAGACATCGAGCAAGGCGTGAAACAGTTAGTGGTTGAACTAATGATAAGATTGTTAAACCAATTATGCATTTTGGACGGTTCAAAGTCATTCCATTATTCCAAATGTTTGCATATTTTAGATTTTTAAAATCAAGGGCACATTACGTAGGCCGGGGGTTCTGTTTTGAATCAATCAACTAACACCACCGCCTGACCCAATTAGAAGATGTAGAGAATATCGACGACTTTGTTAAACTAAAGATAATTTTACAGGATTAGTGCCATTAATCGATAAACAGTGGTGGTTTCATAAGGAAGTATAATTCAAAAGTGAACGTTCTTTTTGACCTAATTAGTTCGTACAAAAAGTTCGTTAAATTTAAATATAAGGATGAAATGACATAAATGTGGTGTTAGTTCACTGATTCAAAATAGAACCCCGGCATTACGTAATGTGACCTTGACGAGCATTTAGTTACCGCTTCGAAAATTACATTAAATTAAATTTAAAAAATTCTGTTGCGTTCGCATCATAGAGGTTTACCCCGTTTTCCGCTAACCGACTTGGTAATGCGTATGCAATCAGCATTATTCAGCACAAGTCAATTATGTCTAGTGACCGAAAATCTAGAATTCACAGTTATTATGTAGGTATTTCAACTAGGCTGTTATATAATTGGTATTTGTCTACAAGTGACATAAATAATTTCGATGACAATTACACATATTATTTATTTACGTATTACAACGCTCTTGTAGGATAACACATTTAAGTTTGAAAATGAATATTTTTTCTTTTATAGTTCAGATTCAGATTCAATGACTTTATCATCTCGAAAAAACAGACTTCTGACAAAAGACAGAACAGAGGTGTGTGTCAGGAACAAATTTCCCGCGAAAAAATGTCAAAAAGTTAAATTATTGAAGAAAAATCTAAGATATGGCAGTATGGTTTAGACGCCTTAGCCTGTCCCCAAGGACGAAAAATTGTACTACTACGAAAATATAATCAGTACAGAGTACTAAAAAAAACCGACCTCAAAAGTCATTCATCCCCCAGTTTGCGGAATATTTTCTTCCAATTTAAGTGGGACCACTTCGGAGGTATCTTCTTTCCAACAAAAAAATAATCATCAATCGGTTCAGAAGTACCGGAGTTATCGCGTAACATACATACAAAAATAAACCATATAATCTGAATTTAAAATCGCCTCCTTTTTTTGAAGTCTGTTAAAAAGTAGTTATTATTGTTATTTTTAAATATTATTTGTGATTTGTGACAAAAGAATTGCACATTGTATCTGCTAGAGCTAGGTTTTCGCGTTCATATGGAAAGTTTTATGTCATTTGTAGGTAAATCCGTTTTATGGTTAGTAATGTCCAATCCGATGCTTTATAGTAATTATATTTCTGTTTCTCACTAAAGCATTTTTTTAAATAACGATGTTGCTGTCCTATTTTTTTGTACTACTCTTAAGGACATAGGTAGTTAGTTTTTTAAAATAAAATTTTAATGAAAAGAAGATAATTTCAACAAATGACGGTGATCGAAAGAAACCACTCCTTTAGTAATTATTGTATATTGCTGCTTGTTGATTTTTTAATTATAAACTTTTTCATCCGAATTCTTCAATCATGGGGCTGGGATTTATCTCTATTACAGTCATTCTCGGGTTGCTGTTCACTGCATTTTAAAAAAAAAAATAAATAAGTGCGCATATTTTGGATCTCACCTGTGAATAGTGACGATGTGGTCGGTCAATCTTGCCTTGCAAAGGTTTTAGTTATAGCGTTCAGGGAATAAGTCTGCAAACAGGGAATTCCACTCCATAGCCGTTCGCCATGAAAATGTGGAAGCGTAATGCTTCGTGCGAATCTTTAAAATATCCTCAACACAGAGATGGTACCCCAACCTTTGCCTAGTCCCTCGATGATGAAATGGGGAAGGGCGAAGTATATCGTGCAATTCCATCGCACATTTAAAAATTCGAGTATAGCATCGCAAAATACTATTTAGTAATTTAATAAAATTGCCACGGTTATTAAACAGCGAACACCAAGCCGAGAAAGACACGCTTATGTAATATGGTAATTATCATTTTGACACATTGGTGGTTATTGCTTTGTATAAAGGGCTATTTGTAAAAAGATGCACCTTTTCTATGTTTTAGGCATTGACTTACAATTATATGGACGTCGGGTCCGCGCTAAAAAGCTTCCGCACTTGTAAGGCGCTAAAATCGTATACAGAGCGCGACACTCCGCTTTAGTCTTCATTTGTTCTACGGACGCGCGATACTGCGATGACATAACAATTTAAATTTCGAATAGGTTGACTTGGGACATTTTTTTCGTGGTTTTTGTATTAGACCCGTCGTCCATTTATTTGTAAGTCAATGGTTTTAGGTCAATATTTTTTTGGTTTAGTATTTTACTCGTTTCTTTATTGGTGAATCAATTTGACGTATTTTACGCCTCAATCAATCTTAACTTCTGATCAGGACTTTGCGAACAAATAGAGTTGTTAATGTTATATTACGTAATGTTAAACATTTTACAGCAAAATTGAACTATCATACAAGTTATACTCTCACAGTATTACAAGCAAACTTAAAAACAAGAGATGTACAATTGCTTATTTCGAATGATTTCGTTATTTTGAAATTGTTAAGGAGTACTGTTAGTACTCTACTTTTAATGTTTATTTTACGCTCTCGAACTATGTTTATGTCCGAGGTACATTACAGTTGTTTTCAAGGCAATCATGAAGTACATATTGTGGAAATATAACTATCAAGTTAGCTGGCATTTATTTTTATTTTTTTTACTATTTTTTTTCTCGCATTTACATACTGTTGTTAACTCTGCCTAGAACGAATTAGCGGTTACAGTTCCATATTTCATGAAAGTATTTTGAAAATATATTTTTGTGAAACATGTTTTGTGGTTACAGTAAATTCTAAACAAAATAAATATTTAGTGTCGAATGCTCATTGTAATCTACAAGATAAAAAGTGGAATTATTCTTGCAATCATTAATTTGTATTTTCTGGGCCAATAAAGCGATATGCATATGAATCTATTTGTTTTATTACTCATTCTGCTACCCTAGCATGAACAATCCCATACATCATACCCTTAATATAGTGACAACAATGGAGCGTCAGAACATATACCGCTAAGTCACACTTTGACTTATTCCTTTTTTAATGCCAAACGATTGTTTTTGCAACAATCTACGAATAATAGTTATTGTTGAGATTTTTTGCCAAATCACTAGTTTTGTTATGATTAGGAATACAAAGCTCAAACACAGAAAAATTTCTTTGACACGATGGGACTTGAAACCACGTCCATGCTGCACCTCGAAATTCTCCTATATGTATTTTTGTTATTAGATCTTTTTTTCTTTTCTTTTTTTTTATACATGACAGGCAAATGACTCCACTTCACCTGATGTTAAGTGGAAAGTGGTATCCAAACGCGAAAAAGTACTGGCTTTCTGCATTCGTCGCTGCTAGTGATATCTAGTGAGAGATTTTTTAATAATCTTCTCACCACAGCCGATACCTTTACACATCACAACTGACGCAGATGTCGCTTTTTGATGAAATGTATTTATTGAGATTTTTTGTGAAATAAATCTACGAATAATTTATCCAACCAAGCAACCGCTAAATCCTTTTTAAAAATATATTAGGTATTTGAAATGCACGGATCTGAATACAATTCAATGAAACTAGATAAATTAGAATCGAAATTTATTGGTTTTTATTCCGAAGCTCCTCAATTCAAAATTTAGAACAGATTTTAAAATTATGTGCGGCAAAAGACCGCAGCACATCAAGTTACACACTGGTGGATTTTGTTCCGCATTGGATGCGGTATTCGAATAAAAGTATAAGCTTCATGTGCTATTGAATGTGCACGGTATATACCCTTTGCCTGGTGGCAAATTTGACAAAATACTATTTGTCACGAGAAACACATAGTTTCATATTGTACGAGTTTTCTTAATTTGATATAATAACATTAATAATGCACTCACTCGGGAAACCCTGCGGTGCCATGAACACATTCATGGACAACCACAAATTACACCCAAACTCACGATAGAAATAAATGTAGGTCATACAAATATTTCTCCCGGCCCGGGTATCGAACCTGGGACCTATGCGTGGCAGTCCGGCATGGTAACCGTTCGGCCAGTTATTATATAACACGGTCACAAGTATTATTGGAAATAGGTAAAGTAAGTTGAAAAGTTTCAGCAAAACGGCGGCAATATTTTTTTTTTACTCTTTATTTATTTAGGGGCTTTGATCATTATTGAACATGTCAGCCCCATTAGAAAAAAAAGATACCTCAAGGAAACACTTCATAAAATCCAGACAGATAAATCAAAATACTACCAAACCAAACGTATACAAAATGTCCCCGGCACTACATGTTGGCTCCGACAAAACAGATTGAAACCACCCAACATTAAATGTACGGAAACCAGCCTGTGCAAATGACCGCGCCCTGTTTACTATGGCTGATTTACATTGGTACAAAAAATGGCGCTAGTGTTTCAGGAATGCATGTCATGATAAAATTCTATTTGATAAGAAAAACGATATTTTAGTTTAATTTTGAACTTAGTTGTGATGTGATATGGTCACGAATGTTATTGAAAATAAATAAATTGTTA